GAAAAAGAGGACCTACAACCAAGATTCCTCTACCCAGCAAAGCTATCATTTAAAATTGAAGGAAAAATAAAGACTCCCTAGAAAGGCTCTGGCCAGGGTGGCTCAGTTGGTTCGAGCATTGTCCCGTGCACCAAAAGTTGTGGGTTCAATTCCCCAGTCAGGGTACATACCTAGGTTATGGGTTTGATCCAGGTCAGGGCGCATATGAGAGGCAACCAATACATGGACATTTCTCGAGCTCTATCTCCTGCTTCCTCCCACTCAAAAAAAAAAAAAAAGTGCTCCCCAGGCAAGAAAATGCTAAAGGACTTCATCATCACCAAACCAGTATTACAAGAAATGTTAAAGGTTAAAGGAGCTTCTTTAGGAAGGAGAGAGAAAGGGGGAGGAGGAAGAAGAAGAAAAAGAAGATATAAATATGAATAATAAAATTGTAATAACTATATACCTATCAATGATTACTTTAAATGTAAATATATTACATGCTCCATACAAAAGAAATAGGGTAGCTGAATGAATAAGAAAACAAGACTCAAGTGTCCACTGACAGATGAGTGGATAAAGAAGGTGTGATAGAGGAGGAACCAAGATGGCGGCATAGGTAAACACCGGAGTTTGCTGCCTCGAACAACCACTTCAAAAATACAACTAAAAGATGGAATGGACATCATCCAGAACCACAGGAAGGCTGGCTGTGTGGAAATTCTACAACTAGAAGGAAAGAGAAAAGCATACCGAGACTCAGAGGAGGCGCAGTGCAGAAGTAAAATGCTAAGGTGCGGAGTGCATGCGGAGCAGGCTGGCGGCTGAGGGCGCGGTTGTCGTTTTCAATCGGGAGGGAGTCTCAGCCTCTGAGCTCCAGTTCCGGGCGAGTCTCTAGGGACCCAGACTCATACGGGAGAAGCGGGACTCTCTGGCATCGGTCAGAACCCGAGGGCAGCTGTCTCTCTGAGGGGCTTGCAGCAATTACCAGGACACTGAGAAGCAGAGCCTCTGAGGGCAAGACTGAGAGCAGCCATAACTGCTAGCCCCGCCCTGTTGATCCCGTGGGACCTGCCCCCCCCAAGCCCTGCTGGGAGGCTTTTGCTGGATAGCCGCAGGCAAAGGCTAGATTAGCACCTCCCTAGAGATCCAGGAGCCAGGAAGCCCAGAGGTCAGGGTGGAATCATAAAAGACACACTCAGGGACAGACTCAGTGAGCACCAAAGCCCCATTGAAGCAAGTCTTGCCCCAGAGGGGTGTCTCCAGCACAGAAGTTCTCCCACTGCAGACACAGCTGATTCTCATAGCCAATTGGCCTGGAGGTCAATTCCTCCCAGTGATAACTACAACAATCAAGGCTTAATGACAACAAGACTGTGCACAAAGCCCACAAGGGGGTGCACCAAGAGTGTCTACCTCAGGTAATTGGGACACTTGGCACGGAGAGGCACTCTATCGACACAGTGAAGCATAAAAAATGCCGAGACAAAGAAACAGGACACAAATGGCGGAGGTGGAGGAGAGCAAACTGCTGGATATAGAGTTCAGGGCCACACTTTTAAGGTCTTTAAAGAACTGTCTAGAAGCCGCCGATAAATTTAGTAAGGCCCTCGAAAAGACTGGTGAGACCGCCGATAAATTTAGTAAGGCCCTCGAAAAGACTGGTGAGACCGCCAATAAATGTAGTGAGATCTACAAGAAATCTAGTGAGACCCTCGATGTTGTGATAAAGAACCAACTAGAAATTAAGCATACACTGACTGAAATAAAGAATATTATACAGACTCCCAACAGCAGACCAGAGGAGCGCAAGAATCAAGTCAAAGATTTGAAATACGAAGAAGCAAAAAACACCCACCTGGAAAAGCAAAATGAAAAAAGAATCCAAAAATACGAAGATAGTGTAAGGAGCCTCTGGGACAGCTTCAAGCGTACCAACATCCGAATTATAGGGGTGCCAGAAGAAGAGAGAGAGCAAGATATTGAAAACCTATTTGAAGAAATAATGACAGAAAACTTCCCCTACCTGGTGAAAGAAATAGACTTCCAAGTCCAGAAAGCACATAGAACCCCAAACAAAAGGAATCCAAAGAGGACCACACCAAGACACATCATAATTAAAATGCCAAGAGCAAAAGACAAAGAGAGAATCCTAAAAGCAGCAAGAGAAAGAAAATCAGTTACCTACAAGGGAATACCCATACGACTGTCAGCTGATTTCTCAACAGAAACTTTGCAGGCCAGAAGGGAGTGGCAAGAAATATTCAAAGTGATGAATACCAAGAACCTACAACCAAGACTACTTTATCCAGCAAAGCTATCATTCAGAAGTGAAGGTCAGATAAAGAGCTTCACAGATAAGAAAAAGCTAAAGGAGTTCATCACCACCAAACCAGTATTATATGAAATGCTGAAAGGTATCCTTTAAGAAGAGGAAGAAGAAGAAAAAGGTAAAGATACAAATTATGAACAACAAATACACATCTATCAACAAGTGAATCTAAAAATCAAGTGAATAAATAATCTGATGAACAGTATGAACTGGTGATTGTAATAGAATGAGGGACATAGAAAGGGAATGGACTGACTATTCTTGGTGGGGGGAAGGGGTGTGGGGGGTGCGGGAAGAGATTGGACAATAATCGTGCACCTATGGATGAGGACAGTGGGTGGGGAGTGAGGGCGGAGGGTGGGGTGGGAACTGGGTGGAGGGGAGTTATGGTGGGAAAAAAGAGGAACCAATGTAATAATCTGAACAATAAAAATTTAATTTAAAAAAAATGAGAAAAAAAAAGAAGGTGTGATACATACATACAATAGAATATTACCTGGTCATTAAAAAATAATAAAATTTTACCATTTGCAACATCATGGATGAACCTAGAGGGTATTTATGCTAAGTGAAATAAGTCAGACAGAGGAAGACAAATACCATATGGTATCATTTATATGTGGAATCTAAAAAACAAAATAAGTGAGCAAACAAAACAGAAACAAACTCATAGATACAAAAAACAAATTAATGGTTGCTGGGTGGGAGGGGTGTTGAGGGCTGGGTGAAAAAGGTGAAGGGATTGAGAAGTATAAACTGGCAGTTATAAAACAGTCACAGGAATGTAAAGTACAGCATAAGGAATATAGTCAATAATATTCTAATAACTATATACGGTATCAGGGGTACTAGACTCATGGGGGGATCATTTTGTAAGTTATACAAATGTCTAACCACTATGTTGTACACATGAGATTAATATAATATTGAATGTAATTGAAAATAAAATTTTAAAAAGGAAAGATGTGCAAGGATTGTTTGCCCTGGAAAGGAATGGACCCAGCCTCTGAAGCCAGGCACCCAAGATGCACAGGACACAAGGTTGCTTCAACTTCAGAGTAGAGACGTCAACATCTTCACCACTCTGACATGCTCCTGACACACACACATTTTTAACATGCTGCACACATGGACTATGACAGTGAAAAGTGGCATCACATTTTCCAAACACCTGCTTCTCTCTTCAGGCAGCACTGACTGAATCTGTGAAGCTTTGCCTGCAGCCTCATCCATCCTCTACTCCACAGCCCAGCTCCCCCCAGAAGCCCCCCGTCTCCCCCAGTCTTTCTAGGCCTCCCTGATGCCCTGCTCTGAGCCTCCCACGTCAGTATAGGAATTAGCTCGGGGGCAATTTGTCTCCCTACAAGAGCACAACTTCCTCCTGATCAGAAGCCTTGTCCATCTGCACAGAGGACCTGGCACTACCCACAGGGAGCAGGGAGTAGTGGGCTCCCATAGCCGAGCCGGCACCCGACAAACTGGCTTTTTGATGGAACAGCCCCAGTTTGGCTCCCATCTCATCCTCGATCTCACTCTGTCTCTTTCTCTCCATTTCTATCTTCCTTGGGCAAAGGTCACCCCATCTGTGCTGAGCCCACAAGAGGGTCAGTGTGGTTCATCTCTAAGTTCTTAACACTGGAGTTTCTGAACCACAGACGTGCCCTCCGGTCCACAAGCTCTGCCAGTGCCCGTGTTTACTCGCTTTGAATAGCTGCTGTGCCAGAACCTCAGGCTCACTCTTCCCACCATGCTCCATTGACGGCACAACAGGAAGCAAATGTTGCTCACCTCACCTCTTCCATTTCCTCTTTCTGTCGCCCCCACCGGCTGGCCCCTCCAGCCACCCGACATGTGTTGTCTCTCCTTGTGTACATCTGCCCATATATGCTCAGAGGGCCTTGTGGGGGGAGGGGGGTGCTTTCTGCTAAAGTTGGGGGAGGTGGTTTTGCCTTGGTACAAACATATGTGTTTGAAATCAATTTATTTATCTCATTTGTCAAAATATCTTCAACCACATTTTACATGTAAAAGTTCTTGTAGTCACTCTCCAGATGCCTCTCTGTGGGTCAGGCCAAGCTGAAGTGATCACACCCATTTTGCAGACAGGGTTGTCAAGGCTCAGAGACGGAAAGTCGCTTGCCCAGAAACACAGGTGACAGGAGCCTCCTGCACTTGCTGACTCCCCACCCGAGTGCTCTCTTGCCCCCAGGTCCATGAATATTCTGTTTAATTCTTTGCTCCTTCTCTCTAGCCAGCCCCCTCCACCTCAGATCTAGTTAGCTATTCCAGGAAAAAACTGATTTCTTACTCATCTGAGGGTCCCTCCCCGCACACGCCCAGCCAGTACTTGACAAGCAGTAAGACACCC